TCTTCTTCGGATTCAACAGGTAGGTCATCAATTTCTTCGTCTTCGATATTGGAATCCGGTCTTGCGAGCGGGAGCTACTCGGCATAGTATCGACTTTAAAGAAGTACGCTCACCTTCTATACGGCACCAAGTTCACCGTTTACACCGACCATAAACCTCTCGAGCATTTTCTAAAACAAAAGTCTCTATCAGCAAGACAACGGCGTTGGCTAGATCAACTCTCTTACTTTGATTTCGATATCAGCTATGTCCAAGGGACCGCCAATATCATCGCCGACGCGCTCTCAAGAATTTATTCCGATGAACCTAAAGGTGTAATTCGTGCCGCATCTGAATTTGTTACGGATCCCGATGATCCTCTGAAGGAAACAGCCATCTCGGACTTCCTTCGCCAGCGAACCGCCAAGTCCAGACCACTATACACAGGTGACGCCATCCAGACTGAACTCGAAGTCTTCGCCGTAACGCGAGGACAGAAAGCTACTGCTGATAAAGCAGTAGCGGAGGGCAGAATGGAGGGCACACCTGCTAAAAGACAAAACTCGAAATCAGCCAGCATCCCAAAACCTCTCGCAAGACCGGATTCCAATATCGAAGACGAAGAAATTGATGACCTACCTGTTGAATCCGAAGAAGAACTAATCTTGGATGGTGAAAGCGAAAGAAGTGATGACGAAGGAATGGTTGTTGTTCAAAGACCCAAAGAGCCTAACGAAACGATGAACCCCATACAAGAGCAAGCTCAGCAACCAGAAAACCCTTCCAATATTTCAACCTTTCCCTTGAGATAAGCGATATCCTCCTTAACACTGGTTAATTCAGCATTACCCGTCACTGATACGGCGACGGTGGAGGAATCCTTGGTCACTGGGATAGTAATAGGGGGGCGTTTGGGAATGGCGAACGATTGGACTGGAGTCTTGTGCGCAAGCGACATAGGAACGCTTCTGACCGAGATAGGCTCGTTAGGATTACTGGATGCGTTAATGATAGGCACGGTGGGTTCAATAGGAGAATCACTCCAGTCAACCTCTTCTCGTTCTGCGAACATGAGGGGAAGGGGTTTTGAAGAAGTTTGACGAAGATAAGTGTGGGGAATAGAATGTCCTCTTTTAACGCCTTTCTTTGAGACGGTAATCGCGCCGAGTCTGATTTGAGGATCATCAGGAGGGCTACCAGTCCCTTTCTTCAGGGAACCAATGGCGGTGATGCCTAATGCCTCGCAATAAACGTCAAACGCGGCTAAATCCTTGACAGAGTGATAAGGTTCCCAACTTCGGTCACCTGACTTCCAAAGGACCTCGAATAAAGCGTCCTTGCCTGAACCATAGTGAGAGACGATCCTATCAACGGGCCAGTGGGACGGAGGACCAAAACCAGCGATATGTGGTAATGAACGTCCTGGGAACTTGCGGTCATCATTTGGTATGTGGATACGAAGTAGGGATGCATGGAATGAAGGGTGTATCCCTCGACGCTTGAGTTCTTCCGGGAGATCCAATTTGAAAGTGGCTCCAGGTTCGATAACCTTCAGGATCCGATACGGGCCGATAAATTTGGGAACAAGCTTGCGAGCCCTTCCCTTCGGGATCGAGAGGTTCTTTGTTGACAGGTACACGAGGTCACCTTCAACGAAAGGCGCTGGGCATCTTTCTTTGTTTGCACTCCTAGTTTGCTTGATTCTAGCCGTAAGTATTGAATCATGTGCTGACATTATGGCCTCTCGAATTGTCTCAGCGTGGCGCCTGACACCCGGGTATTCGGTAGTGCCACCCCTAATTAGGGTCCTCGGCATCTGCCCTGAATTAATGAAGAAAGGGGCGTAACCAGTGGTCTCGGATCTTGCCGAATTTAGTGCAAATTCGATGGCAGGTAGACGCGAGACCCAGTCCTTCTGGTTCGGGGAAACCGCCTGTCGTAACATCGTGGTGATTGTTCGGTTTGCCCGTTCAGTCGCGCCATCGGTTTGAGGGTGAAAAGCGGTGCTCAAACGTAACTCTACTCCAATGAGCTTATGCAGCTCGTCCCAGAAGGTACTGGTGAAGTAAGAGTCGCGATCGGACACAATTCTTTCAGGTAAGCCATGTAACTTGTAAACTCCTTCATATATCATTTCGGCTACTTCTTTCGCCTTGAAGGTCTGACGTGCGGGCAGTAGATGAACCATTGAAGATAGATGGTCGATCACAACACAGATCATATCGAAACTGCCGTGGCGGTTGGATGAGCTGGGGAGAGGGCCGACAAAGTCGATACCAATAGCTTGCCAAGGACGAGTCGGGACTTCCAGAGTGCGTAGAAGACCGTAGGGATGTTGCGTGGATGATTTCGTGTGAGCGCAAGTGGTACACGACGCGCAGAAGTCCTTTACGTCCTTCTGCATTTCGCGCCACCAGACATTGTCACGGAGATATCGAATAGTCTTCTTTGAACCAAGGTGAGCGAGTATTGAGTGCGCGTGATTGATGATAATCTCTCTGACGTTCCGTTTGCCTATTTTGAAGTTGGGAATGCAGAGAAGGAGCCGTCCGTCGTCTTTAAGGTATAATAGACCGTTTTCGAAGACGTAGTGCTTGTATGCTGATGGTTCTTTGACGATAGGGCCGAACACAGGATCGTTTTCGTACTGGCCTTTCAAGCAATCCGGTAGTCGAGCATCCGGTTCTCCTTCGGACACGACGTCGATGAGAGACGGGGTCACGTTAAGATCGGGAAGAGGCAATGGAGATTTATCACGAATATTAGAGGGGTTCTCAAGTTGCTGAACTCGCTCTGGTATGGGATTCGTCGGTTCGTTAGGCTCTTTGGGTCTTTGAACAATGACCATTCCTTGGTCGTCATCTCTGTTACTCTCGCCATCCAGGATAAGTTCCTCTTCGGATTCAACAGGTAATTCGTCAATTTCTTCTTCTTCGATATCGGAATTAGGCCTTTTGAGAGGTTTTGGGATGCTGGCTGATTTCGCGTATTGCCTTTTAGCGGATGTGCCCTCCATTCTGCCCTCCGCTACTGCTTTATCAGCAGTAGCTTTCTGTCCTCGCGTTACAGCGAAGACTTCGAGCTCAGTCTGAACGGTGTCGCCTGTGTACAGTGGTCTGGACTTGGCGGTTCGCTGGCGAAGGAAGTCTGATATGGCCGTTTCCTTCAGAGGATCGTCAGGATCCGTTACAAATTCTGAAGCCGCACGAACTACGCCTTTCGGCTCATCGGAATAAATTCTCGAGAGCGCATCGGCGATGATGTTGGCGGTGCCTTGAATGTAGCTAATATCGAAATCGAAGTAAGACAGTTGATCCAACCAACGACGTTGTCTTGCTGATAGAGACTTCTGCTTCAGGAAATGTTCGAGAGGCTTGTGGTCGGTATAGACGGTGAATTTGGTACCGTAAAGCAGGTGAGCGTACTTCTTCAGAGTCGATACGATACCAAGAAGCTCCCGCTCATGAACTGGGTAATTTTGCTCTGCAGAGTTGAATCTACCGGACCAAAAGGCTATAATGCGCGCTTTGTCAGCGCTCTTGCCTTGCCAGATAACACCTCCAGCTCCAGTATTCGATGCATCCACCGACACACCAATGGGATCAGCGTCCGGCGAGCAGTCTATTGCAACACGGCTGT